ATTAAATAAATATTACAAATTAGAAACGTGTTAAGTATTAAAAAAATATGACAGTAAATGAATATGTTATTATGAACAGAAAACCTAAGAAATAAGTTAAAGTTTCATTTAAAACTAGAAAGGATAAAAGTATCAGAATAAAACTGAGTAATAAAAACAAATTATCTTGTAATTTCATTTTCATGACATGATGAACTATCATTAAAGGAAAGTCTTTTTTATATTTGTTTCTTTTACATTGTTTTCAGAGTCGCGCATTGAATAATTTTAACACCAGACTTAAAAAATATATTTCTAAAACATATAATTCACTTTTTAGTCAAGAGAGGGCAGCATCGCTATATCATCAAAATTAAGATGCAGAAAATATTTCCCGTTGCCAATATAAAAAAACTAACTTTAAATGAAAAGCAGGAGGTCTACAACTCAACCAGCAGTCTACCAACACCTCAATTCAACTCGAGACCACGCCCCTTTGGTGTGATGACGTTGCCTTTGGCCCCGCCTTCTGTGTGACGTCATTGACCACGCCCTCAGCTCCTCCTGCCGCAGAACGCCCATTTTCATGCTACTCTCGTCCTCTTCGGTTGCAAAAAAAATATAGGAGTCTTCTAAGACCTTCTAAGTGAATTATTACTATATCTTGTAAAGATCACAGAGATTGAAAAGGGTGTATAGGACATTTTTATTTGATTTAAATAAAATTTAACAAAAGGCTCCCCTCGTGCTTACAGAATACACGTGATTAGTTGATCAGAACCATTTAGAGTGCAGTCTTCTGTTTAGTGTAAGTATAGAGTATTTTATGTGGACACCTCATGACTTCCTTGTAAGGCCTCTTAAATTATGCATTTATGGCTTATATCAAAAGTATTGAATTTGTTTTAATTAAGTTAATGTAAGTTAGCCCACCTTACACAGATAGAGAAACGTGCAACCTGACTGCGTTTCTGACCTGAAGTCGACGTGAAGCCTGATGGCGAGAATAATGCAACGCCGCAGAATACAGCTCTGAAGAGAATAAAATTAGCAACGTGTCCTTCAGCAGGCAGAACACACTCTTCTATCCTCTAAAACCTTCCTTTAAATACTATCTTCTTTCTACCACATTTGAATGCACGAGAGTGGGAAATTTACATTCTGGCAGGAAAATTGGAAACGAGAAGGACAAAAATGCCCATCAAACATAAAATAATTGCTTAATAAACATAAACGAAACTATAGAGTGTAATCTAGCAACACAAAGGGTATTCCATCCAGCAACATTATAGGTCCTGAGTCTTTTAACTACATAACGATGACATTTCATTATAGGCGCCAGAGTACATATACAATTCGAAACCGGATGATTCGATATTTCGTTTCCTTTGAATTGAAAATTCTAAAAATTTGTTTAAAAACAAAGAATTTCTAGAATGCTTTCGCTAATTCGAAAAATTTCGCTAGTCCCTATACCAGTCTGAAGCAGAGTCTGTATGAGTACGTAGAGGGCCAGTACTAAATGCTACATTGGGAGAAAAGTTATTTTTTTATTCGGCACTGCAATCAAACAATCATATTTCTTTCCAAAGAAGCATCTAGCACCTGTTGCTAAAAATAGCATATTTTGTGTGTTTTAGTTAGACCTACCTTACACTTAAACTAATAAATTCCTGTAAGTAAATAAGAATGTAGAATTTTGAAAATATAGCGTACTGAATTTTCAACGCAACGGATTAAACTGAGCACGTAAATTCCAAGCTATTTTAAAGGATTTCCTGTAAAACCCATATTAAGTTAAGGGATTCAGTTAAGGGATCAAAGCCGCGAAAGCCGATAGTTTACACTAATATCTGTTCTTGAGGCAGATATGGCTCGTTCCCCCGAGTCATCCCTGGTATCAAGCTGATTGTCTTGGAAGATCCCTTGCTATGGATTGCGAAAGATTTGTTCAGACAACCCTTTCCCGATTCTTCAGTGGGCACTTGAGGGGACTTACCTTTGAGAGTGGTGTCAAGATGCACCCAATTTGTTCTAAGTGTCACAATGCACCCGCATCACCAGCACATATCCTTGAGTGCCTGGAGTTGTCTCTTGTGGACCTTTGCGGGTCTCTTAAGCTTGTTTTCGATTTTCTAAAGGTGCATGGACTCGTGGAACTCATCTAGTGTATTCCTAGGCATGGAGAGTAGTAACAACAACAACAACAACAATCTGTTCTTGACAGTTGAAGAACCTGGCTGCGAGAGGCGTTCCTATTGTGTAACAATTCAGATTAATTTTCCTCAGAAACACCAGCCCTTTATGAAGGCATCGCTTCCCATCATGTGCTTTGCCATAATCAAAATCGTCCAATAATAGCCAAGCGGTAAAGTAGAACCCCGGTAGGCTGATCTCGGCAAGCGAACTGGCTGCACGGGCGTTTCTGTAGTTTTCCCCAAGTAACATCGAGCCAGTTTCCCTTAGAAAATGCTCCACGAAGGCGTCCCTCAGGCAAATAGCCTTCGTGTGTTTTGTCATAATCAAATAAACCAAACCATAACTAAATCTAATCTATCTAAAATTATTGTTTAAAGATTAATTTAAATATTTATTTTATTAGATATACTACCTAATTTCATATTTTGTTTTTCTTTGATTAATTTATGATGCATAAGGAGTGCCAATTATTTAAATTTTAGTGAGCGAATAATACTTCTTCCAAACTGATCTTTTCAATCTTAAAAATTACATTGAATATATAAAAGATTGTAAATAATGTTAATTGAATATGACATAATAATATTCTTTTTATTGTCTCATGTAACACTCTTGCATTTTAAAGGATGTATGAGATAAATTCATGCAAACAGCAAACATATCGGTAAACATTCGCCAACATTGCGAAATAAGAAACTGAAAGTCTCAATTATTTCAAAGAATTTGTTTATAAAAGAACTTAGCAAACTTTAAATGCGATTTAGAATTTCATTCTTAATTTCGATATTCAGAAATACTGAAATCAGTATTTTCAAAATTACGTACGCCAACTCACCGACAAATTTCGCACGAAACAATAGCGAGGCCTTTTGTCGCAAGCAATAACAATGCTTAGTGATGGCTTTTGACCGTTCTTCTGTAATCATTTGATTAATTGATTACAACTGTAGTTGATATAAAAAGTTGCTTTTAAAAGTTTCCGGTCTTACTTATAATTATAAAATAAAAAGCGAACATTTAAAAAGAAGGTATTTGGAAAGATATTACTAATGATGCTTTTAAATACATATTACTTTTAATTAAAAACTGCATGCTTACAGTTTATATTTCATTGCATTCTGCTTTCCTATGTGCGGTTGTTATTAAATCAAGTGCTTTATATCATTAAAAATATTTTTTTTTTCCTACATTCATAAGATTTCTCTATAACCATTGCTAAGGACAACCGTTTTTCTGTTTTCCATCTCGAAATGTTCAGGTTAAAAAATAAATAAATAAATAAATAAATTTTTAAATCTAAAAGAGTTCAGATTAAATTTGATTTTAAAGGTCTCCCAAAGGATTTGTTATGCTCTTGTTGAGCACGCAGTCTACCAGTCTGCTCTTGCACTTCCTCCTGCTAATCCATATATTTTTTTAACTTTATTAAGCATCGTTTTCTTTACGCTTACGCCACATACAATTAAAAAAAAAATCAAAACTTTTTTAAAGCTGCATAGCAGCATATGTTTAAAATTCCCGATGCATTGTCAAGTGTCGGCATACATTTTTTTATTTTTTTTTTCAAACTTTTATCAGTTCATCATATCAATACTTAGTTTTCTTAATAAGATGGCTACCAGAAAAAAATTTTGTCTTTTTATAAAGACAATAAGTTACCACCTAAGAACTTACACCTAAGACACCTAAAAAGTTAAAAATTAACTTTTTATTAAATATCACGTTCTTCGCCACAGTACGCCACATTTAATTCAATTCAGTAAAATTACAAAATATTTAAAAACAGAATATCTTTAGAATTTCCAATAGACAATCTAATGTGCTAGGGATAAAAGTGCTTGATTCCGCACAGTGTTGCCACCGTTCGCTTTCAGATCGTTGAATTCGTTAATCAAAAATTAAAAACAGAATATCTTTAGAATTTCCAATAGACAATCTGATGCGCTAGAGATAAAAGTGTTTTATTCCGCACAGTGTTGCCATTGCTCGCTTTAAATCGTTGAATTCGTTAATCAAAAATTAATGAAAGTTTTATAAAATATGAAATATGAAATTAAAAATTCGGGCTTCCAGTTTGACGGCTCTATCTACCATCGTTTTCTAACAGTACAAGGTATATACATACATATATACAGATTCTTCATTCTTTAATTTCTTTAAAAATAATACAGGGCGATGATATTTGGTGGCAACAACTTGGAAAGAGATTCGCCGTTTATAGTGAACCAACGCAGAATCTCATTTCGAAACTAAGCTTTTTTTGGGCTGAAAATGATTATCACAAAGTTGGAAATTTTTTTCATAGTTTCTAAACTGATTACTAAATTGAAGATGATTGCCACAAGCAGAGAAAGTGGAAAGAAATAACAAAATCTAGTACAAAAATTGACGAATTGTGATGAAATATATGACGATAATTGACGGTCATATATTAAATGAAAGAAGTATGACTCAGTTATCTGCAGCAATAAAACCACAATTTTCAGGCGAGATACTGAATGCTATCAGAAAAATGCGAATAAAAATTTAGTCCTATCAGACAAGTTAAACAACCTACCCATCCTTTTCCGGTTTTGTAAAAAAGCAGCACCATTTGTCCAACCGGACTCAAATAATTCTCGAAACCGCTAACAAAATTCAGTCATCGCCGGTCACTAGAGCTCTCCGTGACGTCACGACTACAAAAATTGAAAAACCTGGCAAAATACTCGTGAGGAACTTGACCGTCGCGGACGCCACCTGGATTGTGGTGACGTCACACGCGGGAGCTTCAGTTCTGGTTGCATTTCTAAACCAGTGGCAAAAAGTATCCAACAAAGCAGTTCGCGCAGAATCGTTCTGTGCAAGCGGTGTGTTATTACTAGAAACACTTGCTCCGTTATTGTTGCACTGCTTATACTTGTTTTGTCAAAACGGGCTGTTTTTTTTGTGTTTTCAGTTTCGCGGAATTACACGAATTGATTCAGGAGATTTTTTCCTTGTGCGACCCTAATTTAAGTAAGTCTAATTTGTATTACTAAAATGTTTTACAATGTTATTTATATTAAAAAATGTTTTTTCTGACATTTCTGCTTAACTTCTCTTGTGACTTTTTAATTTGCTTACACTGTTCTGTGTTATTTACATCAATTAAAATCGGAACGATACTCTAAATATTCGTGCAATTTAACAATTTGTATTCTGCTGATGATTTTTCATCATATTTCATCGCTTATGTTTGTCTGAAATGAGGTTATCTACTTCTGGAAGCATTCACCGATTTAATTATGGAACTGTATTTCACGCAGACTAGTTTTAGTATTAAAAATTTGTAAATGTTTTTTGAAAATTATATATATATTTCACGTCCCATAAAAGATCTGAACCGTTACAAAAGCGTTTCTTGTACTACTGAAAATTTTTTATTATTATATAGTTTTTATTAGGTATAAGTGAATATTTTAGCAAGAATTTGTTTATAAACGTCCATCAGAAATTCTCGTCATTATGCATTTTTTCTCTCTTGCAAGATTTTAACAAAAATTAAGGAAACTAAGATCTAGTATAATAGTACGATTGATGTGTTTTTTTAATAAGCATATTTCAAAACAAATATTTTACTGTATTGTAATATAGCACGACAAAAAATGTGTAGAAATGCTGATTAATTTAGTTTACTGTGAAATCAAGGAATTGAACTCTTATGACGCCTCGGACAGTGTCACCTTATGGTACTGATCTCAGGATCACATGTCAACAAATGTTTTATTTATTTATTTTTTCTGGGAAACATCGTGCATATCTTGGCAACTTCCCCATTTTAGTGAAAATAATGAGCTTATTTATCTTAAAACGGAAAATGATAGTCATAGCTGTGAATAAGGATAATATATTTGAACAATAATCGCAAAACCATTCTAAGATTCGTAGGACTAAACTAATTAAGCAATAATATTTATCGCATTTCCAGGGAAATTATTTCTGTATTTTTTATAACTTTTTATTTAATTAAGGTATAAGAAAAGTAAATTGAATAACAATAAAAATTGTAGTAATAGCAAATAACTGATTAATAGTTATTGTAGAAAATGGAACTATTTAGCTTCCATTCCCCTTAAAACTTTTTTTTATTAGCTCATGAAATAATACGATTTTTGAAGATAAAATCAATACTGTTTTTGTAAATCTTTAAATCAATGTTTTTGTTTACACTAAGTAATTAAAAAAAAAAAATAAATAAAAATAAATCACCCGCTCCGGTGCAATACGGTATTCCGCCATTTCCCCGCTTCATCTTATAAAATAACCATAACATGGGCGTGGATATATATAGATTTTCATAATATTTTGGTGGCTATAAAAGTTATTTTACACAGGAAATTAATCTAAAATTTATTTTGGAAATCCATTGATCATTCATTAAATTCAGTATTGTCTCATTTCTTATCTCATGAAAATAAATTATTAAAAAGATTTTAAATTTCAGAAGTGTTAATTACATTGAAACAACTGATTTTACAAGTATTTATAAATGAAATTCGAGTTATCAAATTAATAAAAAGTTATTAAGTTTATTTTGATTACGTTACAAGAAACTAGAAAATTTCTTTGTAAACAATTTAAATGGAAAAATTGAAATGTTAGTAATATATATATATATATAATTTATTATCAGAAAATTGTTTCATATCATCTCCAACGAGCATAAATTTAATTAATGCAATGAATTATTTGAATAAATGAGTCAGTAACTTAAGTATAAGTAATTTAGATTACTAGTGTAGTAAAAATATTTTTAGCGCATGTATTCGGCTTTTTAAATTACTCATAATTACTGATATATATATATATATATATATATATGTGCGTGTGTATAGCGTCTATGCTTATTGCTGCTATGGCGTGACCTTTTAATAGATAAGCGTATATGTGCGTGTGTATAGCGTCTGCATGTTTATTGCTCTGGTGGCGTGACCTTTTAATATGTAAAAACATGTGTATATTACTTTTATTTCATTTGGATTTTGATTTTTATTTCAATTTCATTTATATATTGTTCGTTTCTTCTCATTTTTAGTTTAAGTATTGTTCTGTATGAATACTATCTTTATTTCTTTAATTAATTGTCTATCAGCGAGTGAAGGAATTATTTCACATTTCTGAGATTTAAATTCGGATTTTATAAAATTGAATAGAAATTTACAATTAGAATAGGGATTTTGTTCAGATATGTGAAATGACGAAACGCTGTTCTCATGAATTTGGTTTTATTGAGATTATGGCAAAGCACATTTGAGCTATCTGCCTAAAAGAAGGGATGCCTCCGTGGAAGACTTTATAAGAAAAACTGGCTCGCATACACATTACACATGGGGAAAACCACGAAGACGCCCATGCAACCAGCTCGTTCGCGGGATTCGAACCTCGGACCGAACTACCAGTGCTCGGCGACTTTACCGCTCGGCCGCGAGTGGGCCTAGATGGCTCCTATTCCCCCTGACAAGTCGGGAACTTTTCAATGGAATCAGCAATAATTCTCTTGTTTTTAGACATATTTTAGTCCTTATTTTTGTATTGTTATTAGTTTTTATTTTTTCATTTTATTAACGATTCCAATTTACTGAGGAAACCAAACTACACATTAGGTTCACTTCATATTTCATATGAGATTATTTTTCATTTACTTATTTTCTCCCTTCCTCTTCTATATATGTAAAACTCTCTTTGTCGTATAATGAACAAATTAAAGAAAATCTGAAATCTTTCAGATTTTATATTAAGTCCCAAGCGGCATTTTTTTCATTTACATACACACGTACACGTTTCAAGAGCATTGTGGCTAACATCCCTTTGGGTTAAAAACATTTAAAAACCTCATATCTTTAGAATTTCATATGAAGAATGTCTTAAGATAGACAGACACCTGCGCTGGAGATAAAAATGTTTATTTCGTACAATGTTGCCACTGTTCGCTTTGAAATCGTTGGGTTTTTTTTAATCAAAAGTTTTACAAAATATGAAATGGATAATAAAACAAATTTGAAATTCAAATTTCTGGCTTCCAGGTGCTCATCTTCGGGTGGAAGCCTACATTATTCAGAATTTAATGGCTCTAGATACCATTGTTTACTCATAAGCGAGAAACATTCATGCAGATTCTTCAGTGTCTAATTTATTTAAATATAATATTTGTTGGTGACAATTTGAAAAGTGATTCGACGTAAAATGCCGTTTCGAGACTTCCAGCCTTTCTGGGCTAAAAATAATTTAAATGTATATTTAATACATTCATAAAGTCTACCAGTGCACTGTGCTTTGACAACGTAAGAAACAAGTCACGTAAAATATTACGAATTCTAAATCGAGCAGGTGTTGCATTTGGTTAATACGTAATGCGCTTCGTCATAATTTTCAAGGCCTATTCAGCAAATCGATTTTCCCAAGGTAAATGAAGATCTACACTTGGCTGTTCTTGCGGTATTAGAACTACATTCTGTTCTGGCTGCTTTAATTCCCATTTTTACTCTAATCGCCTAAAACTTATTAATCTGCCTACGAAGATTTTGCCAATCCCAGATCTGTTTTATCTGGTTTGCAATTATTCGAACGAAATACCTTTTTTACCTAAAGTTTTTTTGTTTGGTTGTAAACTCGGCAGTGCAATCGCTGAATGTATAATCGTGCTTTTGAATAAATCAAGTAATCGGAGTTTCACAGCGAGTGTACGCGCTTTTCTGGAGTTAATGCCAAATAATCAGTTAATGTTATATCACACGCAATTATTTTTCTGAAAATAAAGCTTAAACCATCATTATTTCAATATAAAAATAGATTGTTTACCCTTTATTACTACCATATATTTCATAACAACAGGAATGAAAATGACTGTTGATCCTATAAGCTGAAAATAACTGTTTTTATTGTTTGTCTCCTTATTTGTAACTATAACGCTTATAAACACATTAAACGTAGGTTAACATTTCATGTTTGAACGTAATGTGCAAATCTAAGGATTTTAAAATGTAAACAGCCCTATGAAAACAAACAAGCAATTTAATTTTACTCATTTTCTGGTTGTGATATTTGGTACTTCATTTTTTATAGTGACCCTGGACCTTACGCAGCTATGATTTTTTTCAAATTCGTGAAGCGCGAATGTAAAAATAAAAAGACGCTAGATATATATATAAAAGAAAATCTGAAAGGTTTCGGATTTTAATTTGCGTCCAAAGGGGGCGTTTTTTTAACATTTTGTGCGTTATTTTTATTTATTAAATATCATGTTCTTTGAACTTAAATGATAAAATTCAGTTCAACAGCAATATTACAAAATAATTTAAAATTGAGCATATCTTTAAAATTTCCGATACACTGTCTCACGCGTTGGAGATAAAAGTGTTTTTTCTATACAACGTTGCCATTGCTCGCATTGAAATCCTTGAGTTTGTTAATCAAAAATTCGTTAGTTTTACAAAATACAAAATCGCTAATACAACAAATTCCAAATTTCAAATTTGGGCTTCCAGATGCCCATATTCGCAGTAGGATTACGTCATTCAAAATAGGATGGCTTTAGGTACCGTTGTTTTATCAGATTGCGAGGAACATATATACATTTATGCAGATTCTTCATTATTGAATTTCTTCAAATAAAAATACAGGGCGATAATATTGGGTGGCAACAGTTTGAAAAGTGAAACGGACATTCAGAGTGATTCGACGCAAAATCGCAAAACGAAAACAATAGTTCCTCAGGGACAAAAGCCCCTTTGAACTAATAATAGCAATAATATTCAGATATTGTTTGCTAAGAATATTTTTAATAATCACTAAAGTGACTGTAACCAACTTCTCCGAATTGCTCACTTTTGTATCCTTTCCTTGGTTTTCCCCATGTGTAACGTGTATACGAGCCAGTTTCCCTTAGAAAGTCCTCCACGAAGGCATCCCTCCTCTTAGGCAGATAGCCCTCGAGGCTTTGCCATAATTACACACATACACATTTGTATCCTTTCCAG